GGGGGGGGGGTGGGGGGAGAGGGCGGGAGGGGGGGGGGGAACACTTTTAAATCCGATAGTAATTTTTTATTAAACTATTTTTATAATCTTTTTTCTTTTTTTTCTTCTTGTTTTTTATCATTTTTTTTTTTTTTATCCCCCTCACTATTCTTTCTTCGTCATAAAATCATGCTAATGGTATTTATTAACAAGTGAAATAATTTTATACTCGACAACATTATAATTTCAAAACAATGAATAAGATGAATGATATATTATGAGCTAACATTTAAACAATTTAAATAATTGTTTAGCAAATACGCTTGTTAAATGTTTAATCGTAATTGTAAAATGCGATAAAGTATGATCAATAAATAGACTTATCGAGAGCTGCGTATAATAAGGCTTTGGTAGTCAAATGTCAATTCAATATAAAACGCAAATATTTATCTTTTATGCACGTTTTTAAATCATTTTAAATCCGTACTCGTACGATTTCAAACGGAGATTGGTTTGATTTGCTTTTATATTCCAAGAGAAGCTTAATATCTCGAATACGATTGCTTGCAATTTAATGAAATCACTTTATTTAAATATAATAAAACGAAAAGTAGTCGAAATTTTCATCTACATCATTAATCGTTATCGGTGTAATTTAACATCGAAGAAAAGATAGAGATAAATTTTTTATAAATCCATACGTTCTCACTCTCACTCTCACTCTCTCTCTCTCTCTCTCTCTCTCTCTCGCACTCTCTAACCCTCTCGCACACCATTCTTATACTTAAACATTCATATTTCGATTTCTTCGGATGATAATTTAATGAGACCATCATATGATGAGAATATTTTTATAAACAAAATTTCTTTCTCATTCTAAAAATACAATGCAATAAAAATAGCATGTTTTTCATGTTTTTCTATACGGCCTTAATATCTATAGAACATTAATAAAGTACGAGTCAACAATAAAAGGAAAAAAAAGAAGAAGAAAAAAAAGAAAAAACAAAAACCCTAGCACCTTGTACAATTGTTGACATTGTGGTAGGGAATAAAAATCAATTTAGCTAAATACTCTCTTACACACTAAATAACAATAAAAAAACAAAAATAAAAAAAAAAATAAAAACACGAGGGACGAGGAAAAAAAGAAACAAAAACAAAAAAATTACAGCATCGTCGACTGTGATAATTAATCGATAATTTTGCGAATTGGCGATTCAAGGCCTTTCGCACGTTTTTCAAAACCCTGTCCCAGCAAATCCGATAACAATCCAGAACACATTCATACGCTTCATCCTCCAACCCCATCGACGAGCTTAATCCCGTAAACAAGTGCCAAGCCCATACAATTCCCATGGAAGATGGTCGCCCGTCATTGTTTACACCAAATACCAAACAACCAACAAGCTGATACAAATTTGTGTCAAAATCCACGCTTCGACACTCAACGATCTCGCAAAACCCACAGTCGCTTGTACGTGCGAATTCGCCCTATCACGCGTCCCTCCACTTTTTTTCTCTCCGCGCCGCTTTATTTGTCCCGTACATTTTCACCTTCGGATCGCCGGCGTCGCTCGACGATCCTTATCTTCGGCGGACTTTCTCGCTCGCTCGCTCGGTGTGGGAACGAGAGGAGCGGCTCGCTTACCATCGCCGAGCAGCGAGGAATCAGCAGGACGTTGATTTTCAATATAATTCTGCACACTTCCAATTACCGCGGACGACCATCATTTATTTGCAAAGCGGCCTAACCGAGAGAAACAAAGAGTTCGTTGCGCGCGCGCCCATATCAACTGTTTTCCCCTCGAGTTGCCGCGCCGGTGAAACATTCCAAGCCGTTATCGGGAAAGATTACTTAGGTGCATACTTTTGATCCAATTCTTATGAATAATTTAATGTTTTAATGTTGCGATCACCTGGAAAAATGTAAATATCTCCGTATGCTGCGAGATGCGGTCTTCGTGCGCGCCTAATGTAATCGGAAATTTTTCTACGTATGCGCATGCGAATATCGTGGCCAAACTAATTCTGCATTAGGCATATATGCGAATTGGAGTTGTTGCACATAAGGCTTATATTATTCGTTAATATTATTCAGGAATCGTAAAAATAAAATAAATGGACGATTAGTGATAAATAAGTGCTGTTCTCGTATGCAATTGGACAAGAATTTTTTTTCTCATTCTCCGAATATAAAGTTTAAGAAGAATTAAATAGTGACGTCCAAGCTCGTTCGACAATCGACGCCTATCTATTAGAAAATTTATTTTAAAATATGCTTAATTTGTAATTAATTTGTTAATTAATTATCTCTTTGATAGAAGGAAATATTACGCTGTGTAATTTCAAAACAATGCTCCGAGCTTTGCATAAACTAAAAACACTGTTTTATTTAATGAGAAATCAGATATGGATATAATTAGAGTAGCTGTATGTAAAAAAAATAAAATAAATAATAATAATAATTATAATAATGACGCATGTAAATAAAAATAAATCAAACGTTCTTATATAAATGAATGTTAATGATAACATTTTACGACAACGGTATAGGAGTAAAAATTCAAAGTAACTTCGAATTCTATAATGACAATTATTAAACATATTAATAAGATTGTAAATAATGATTGAACAATATCGTATATTCGATAACACTCCTTCTTCGCGTCTAAGCCACACGTATGGTAATAAATATTTATAGATTATCTTATATGTATTGGAATAAAGTTGGATATAAAACAGGATTCAAGTCCCATTGTGAAGTTAATGTTCTTGAATAATAAGATGAAAGTAATTCTACGATTAAAATCATTTTGACACTAATAAGCACACCAGTGCATATTATACTTTTTACATGTATTGTATGAAAAGAAAAAAGAGAAGAAAAAAGAAAGAAAAAACGCAAACCGTTCTAAATAATTGAAATTGTGAGTATCGGAAACTAGGAGATTGTTAATTATTTATAATTACATGAATATTCATAAATTTCATTTTAAACAACTTGCTGAACAACTTGCTTTAACAATAAGATTTTTTTTTTTTTTTTTTTTTTTTTTTTTTTTCGTCCAAAGAATAATTATAATTCATTCCGACGAATGTATGAATGTATTGGATTTTAAATTATTTGGTAAATAATAATTTGATTTTTGACGGAAAATCCATCCAAGAACATTTTCAACGGTTTAATATTGTTATTTTGTTAAAAATATTGAAATAATTATTTCCTCTTTATTATCATAGGCACGAAATATATGAATAAATAAATTACAAAAAAAAAACTTTATTTAAACAAATAAGTAAAGTGCAGATAAGTGGAAAATATCGAATTATAATAATTCACGAATCGCCACCGCAAATTGATGGGTAAAAATGGAAATGACTCGATGATTTAACAAGTACAATACATATATCCAATAATTTGAATTTTTAAGGATCTTGAGGCATTCCATCAATGTACTTTTGGCAATGAAATAATGAAAGAACAACCATAACCACTCGAGAAATTGCGATAAATTGCGATAAATTGCGATAAATTGCAATAAAACTGCGAGAGAGAATCCTACTGTTCCCTTAATTACGAACAACTCGCTTGGCCTATCCTCCATATAAAACTTGTGCAAATTGTTTTCCCGGCAATGTCCGAAAGTTCGCAACTTGGCTCGGCAACTATACCACCCTCGTTCATTCGCCAAGTTAAATTTGAATTGCTCGCAAGCTTTCCTATGAAAAATAAGAGGGGCCTGGATCTACCATATATTTAGAAATAATGTAAAACTACTAATGCAGCTTAGACTGATTAATGGGAGTCTGGCAATGTTTAAAGAAATAATATTTGTAATGGCAAATTGTAGGAAATTCAACTTTACATAATTCTAATAAATCAAACTTTATTTAATTATTATGTAATATTATTATAATACGTATTTTTTATAATGACCGCGATAATTTATTTATTATATTTGTTAATGTCGAAGAATATGGAAAACTACGAGGCATTTCGCTCATTAATACAACGTACGTTAAATACTTGAGCAAATAGTCTCGCATTAATTATTATTTTCTATTAATGCTTTGCTGAATTATTGCATTAATGCTCATTAAAATAGTATTTATTTCTAATAATATTTTTAACGATTAATCATGTCATAAATACAGGGATAAAAATAATTCATTTCATATGCGTACAATTCGTGTGAACACTCCAATATTATTAAATGCAATTAACATAACAAACTATTGTTGTACGTTTCTCGAGGTCTATCTTTAAAATATATTTGTTTTTTTTTTCCCGTACAGTATTGTTTAAACAATACTTCAATAATTTAGAATTATATTATTGCGTATAAAGTCTAGTGTCTTCAACCGTAATAATTACTCATCCGATAATTTAATAAAAATATTATATTTCAAAATACATAAGAATTTGGATGCGCTGCATAAAAGTAATTAAACTTTTCAGGACTTTCCAATGTAAAAATTTTATAATCCAGTCGTAGAATTTTCATCATTCACATAGGAAAACAAAAAGATAAAAAAAACCATCTCAAGGACTACAGCAACAGTAATAACGATAACAACAGTGAAAATAGTATAGAGTCGTTTGCGTCTAGGACATCTCCTCCTTCATCACCCGAATAAATCACAATAAATCACATATGCATATATATATATATATATATATATATATACACAGGCGAGTGTACCAGTGGGAAGGAATGATTACCTCGGTGGCGACCGTAGCATAAGGTATGACCGTGTAATTGAATTCCCAACCGTTGTCGCATGGCTTGGTGGGCCAGTCCGGATCGGCGACCTGGAGGTCTCGCTCCCGGACGTCGGTGTAATTTACGTCGTACATGAGACACTTGGCCCTACCTTCCATCATGCCGTGGGTCTCAGGTGGTATGGACAGCGCTATCCTGCAATCAGAAATATCATCCCTTTCAATCATCCTCGTCCCTATTTATATAATTTATTTATACTTTTTATCTTTTTTCTATTAACGCCTCTCTTCTCGTACGCTTTTTAGCTTATTTGTGTGATTTTCGCGTGCGTGCGCGTGTGGGTGTGGGTGGGTGGGTGGGTGTGTAGATAATTTATTTACTCATCCGCGACTTCTTAACGGACATAATGAATACACTTATATCGAGAAATTCATGGTCTTTGACGTGATGTCGTTCTTATTAGATTATGCAAACAAAAAATCGCCATTGTTACGCACTTTACGATACGATTTCCAATCTGCCGCTGAGAGTTTGCCTATATTATTACATTGATTTTTAGGAATGAATTGCCGTAAATTTTGAAATGGATTTCATTTTTTTTCCTTTTTTTTTTTTAATTTACAAAAGAGTCTGAGAAAGGTATATTGATGTGGCTAAAACATGGATTAAGATAAAACTGTCTTTCTAAGATAAAAAAAAAGAAATTATGATTTTCAGTTTATCTGTCTTTTTAATATAATATTTGAAAAATTAAATTTCCCCTCGAATAAAAGAACAAATATAATTTTCGCATTTGAATACTGACGTACTGGATCTTTACAATTATTGGATTAAAAGAATGGATTAAAAAAAAATTATTACTAGCCAAATATAAGCAACAAATAAAAAACGCAATTTTTCTTAACGTTTCATATTATTTCCTAATATCATAGTGTTTCTTAATATCCTAGTATTTCTTAATATATTTTATATTTATTGTACTACTCGTACTCTCTCATAACTAATTTACACGCAATAGAAAACTTGGACAAGTATTTTTTTAATATTTTACATAAGCATTTTACAAGTTCTTATTTACTTCTTAATATAAATTGCACGTTCGGAATAATTGGCACAAAAATTATCGATAAGATAGATTCTATTTGCGTGCTACTTTTGAATTGACATTTGATAACATTAAGATTTATGTTGATGTTAAATGAAAAAAAAAAAAAAGAAAAAGAAAAAAAAACATGTCCGGGAATAATAAAATATGTAAATTTAAAACACATAATATTTTAAGTAATAATTAATGATTTATATTTAAAATCTATAAATAAGACTTATCATGATAAGAGAATTCGTTGTAATTGTTCGATATAACATATAATCGGCAATCCTGTGCTTTTTCATATACTGATCATTATCTATATTTCTAGCTCTGATTTTACTTTTATATGTTCTTTTCATAATGCGAGAATTAATAGGAACTCGTAATTTGTAAACTATGCTGAATCAATGGTTATCAACAATTGAAATAAAATATTCTATTACATGTATTTTAATAATATATAATATTGTATTTTGCAATAACAATCGACAATATGTTTTTTAATATTTTATATTTACAAAGTGTAATGATAAGTAAAAGGTATAACTGAATGATAATGAACGAGAAAAAATAATTGCGAAATTGCTATTCCAGTAAGTAATGTTGATCCATAATATTGCTTTGAGGATTAATTATTAATGGCTATTAGTGACAAATATTCTGTAATATTTCTGAAATTAGAATAAATTCCAAAAGTAGAATATGCAAATTTGTATGACTTTATTCATCTGTTATAAAATTATTAAATCTTGTTAGTTTAGTGATATATTTTATTTTCATATATGGTTTTCAATTAAATGCCTACATATAATAAATTTTAAGTATTTTAATAAACTAATAAATTATATTTTAATGCAGAGTTTGCTTGCACACTTTAATAATTTTGAATTTCTTTGATTATCGATAAAAAACATTATTACTATGCGTTTTCTTCTTCTTCTTCTTCTTCTTCTTCTTCTTATTATTATTATTATATATTATATATATATATATATTAATACCTATTCGAAAAAAATAAACCGCTAATGAAATTGCAAAAAATAATATTTTTTTAATATACAAAATCTTTAAAGCCTTATCAATGCAATTCATCTTTGATAAACTATAAAGTTGTCTTCACAATTACGCATTTTCATTTCCCATCAAAACAATTAGCATCTTGGTAAATAGCATTTTTAGAATTTTATACTCTTGCATTATTGCAAGTGAAAAATATGAAATTCTTTTTAACGTTTAAATGACACGTTCATTCCGACGAAAGATCCATAGAAAAGTGAATGTCCAAACGATAAATTCAACAGTAACAAAATGCTTGACGAACGAAATGTTCTTATTTACGGGCGAAAAAAATCTTTCATCCCCTGTACGCCATGATAATAAATATAGGAGATTACGAATTAATTGGATCGCCAAGGCATAAAAGCCGACGACCATGTCAGTTTGTTGCGTTGTAAGAGGAAAAGGCGTGAAAGTATAATAGATCGATCGACTAGTACGTGGGAAATACATGGATGCAAGGTTGAGTTTTCGTACTCTGCTGCTTAGAATTAACGCAAAACTAACTTCATTACCTCCATTGATGACGCTTCTTTATCGTAGCCATTTAAAACAATATAAAAATGGATTCTCGATTACTCATTCGCTAATTATAATATATAACCAATTGATTGGAAAGAGAACATGCGAGACGAATATCGATCGCTTTACGCACTGCTAAATATAAGTTTGAAAATTGGGAAATAATACTACCAACTCAAATACCCCTTTCCAATACTGATAATACAGAGGTGCTTTATTAAAAATTGACATATAATACAGCTAACACGAATATCAAAAACGTTCAGCTTTTTATATTATCAATATGAGATAATGACATTTTGCGTACAGTAGTTAGAAACTTCGCGTCTATAGAAGAAAAATTAATGTTGCATTCACCGAATAATTTCACTATATAAATGAAAACAAGAACCCTTCAACGACGTATTATTCTTTTACGGCTAATTTATTATTTATTCAATATAATGTTTAATGATGATATATATATATATATATATATATATATATATTTACTAATTGATTTACTATTCTTTTATGAATATCTAAATTTTATTGCAAATGAATTGCGAATTTTTAAAAACTGAATCAGTTCTTCATATCAAAACGAGTGAAAAATAAAAAACTATCAACTCTTATTTTACAATGCTATCTATATTTTTATAACGTTAGACGAAATCATTTATTTCTCATTTACAAATGTCTGCTTTGAACTTTTGTAATATTCTGCACGGAGCACTCCTAAGGAGATTTGACAGTTAAGCCGATAAAATGATAAAAAAAGTTATTCATTTAAAATGGCAAACTATTTTGCGAACAAAAAGGGATTTATATCTATTAAATAAAACTATTGTTCAATATAAATAAATATTTTTTAAGTTTTTAAGATTTTAAGATTTTAAATCAATATAAATAAATAAATTTTTTATTTTTTGTTTTTTTTTTTCTTTTCTTTTTTTTTATTTAATTCTTTAAGTGTCAAAAAATGAATAAATATTGAAAATCAACTTTACTGCAATAAACGCAGAACCAATTTTTCCTTTTGATCGCCTATCAACTGATACTTGAACTTTGGCCTATAAATATAAGAGATATTCTTGCAATGTTACTGAAAAATTTCAGAACTTTTCCCTAAGTCCCCCTCCTAGCCTTTGAAGATGCCGTAAATACCAACTAACGCCGAGTTTTCACCCTTCAAATAGCATTCCAGCTTAGTGCACTTTTACTGGTATTGAGAATTTTCCATCTTTTCAATTTCCTCATATTCTTCGTTCGTCTAACTCTTTCAAAGTTCTGCTCTACGCAATGTATCGGTCATACAAATGATTTTAATATCCTATATTATACGTTGGTATTCTCGATTAAACAATATTCTACGTTTTCAGCACTATATTTTATTTTTACATGTGATATTTATTTATTTATTTATTTATTTTTTTTTTTTTTTTTTTTTTTTTTTTTTTTTTTTTTTTAATTTTTGTCATTTTAGGATCATTCGCGAACGTAATTAAACTTTCCCAATCTTCATATATTCTAAAATTTATAACTTGCAAAATTTCTAATCTATTTAAAGCTAATATTCTAATTCTGCTCTATTATAACATTAATGCTCTCCGTTTGTGTTTCAAATGAAAAATTTGTTTATTATATTCAAACAATTTAGTGTTTAATCGTTTCCGTACTATTTACCATTAATACTCGTCCTTTTTTCTTTTTTTTTTTTTATATACGTTAATTTTATTTTGCATAATATATATTGTTATTTTGTAAATTTTCAATGGTTTTTCTTGTTCTTTTTTCTTTTTCTTCGCCAATTAACATATCGAAGGTGTAAAATAATAAAAGAGTTGATTGAAGCAAATTTGATGTACAAGTACTTTATAGTCTAAAAAACGTTAAAATGTAAAAAATATAGATGAAAAAAGGAACAGTGTTGATAATCGGTCAAGGTAATGAATGTAATAAGCAGACGATGAGAGAGAGAGAGAGAGAGAGAGAGAGAGAGAGAGAGAGAGAGAGAAAAATCGAGTTTACATCATCATTTATCATTAGGATACCAGTAATATATTCCAATACTGCCAGATACAAATCTGTTATAAATACATCTATTTAATATCGAGCCAACTTTTCGCTAATATTTATTTTTCAAATTCTTACGCAATTAACAAAGTATACATATACAGTTATTCAGTAAAGTAATAAAAAAAAAAAAAAAAAAAAAAAAAAAAACCCGGTGTGAATTAGTAATTTAATATTATATTAAGTCGTATGCATTTTCAAATTGTGATATTGTATAGACAAAGAAAAAAATTGAGGTGAAATTATTATAAATATAAACTGATAGTTAACATTGATCAAACGCATGATATATGATAAATTACAGTTACAAGAACGAAACCTTGTAAGTTATTTTATGTACTTTTTAATTAAAATTTACAAAATTAAATGGAAATATACATAGTTGTTTAATAACTGTCCGAGACGCAATAAATGATATGTGTATTGTATATTATGAAATGAAAAAATATAAAATAATTTGTAAACATAATTG